GAATAATAGTGTTGGTATATTTACATAAAGATTTGTAATTTCCCATTTGGAAGAGACCACAAAACCGATTTAAAACTAAACATTACTAAGAAGTTTCAAAAAACCCCAAAATACGATATAAAACTGTTATGGACAGACGTGTAGCTCACCACTAGGTGCTCCACTTATTCATCTCGTCTCTTAATATCATTTACAAGAAAGACATACAAAAGCTTTACAGAAATCATTAGGCACAAACTGAGTACACAATTTTCTTTTCATTTACTTTACAATTTACAATGTATGTGTATTCGATCCCCTAAGGTACTTAACCCCTAACCGTCTATTTGGTTGCATTACAAATTAATATCTCTGCCTAACACATTTTAAATGGAATTCTCATTTTATTCAGTGAGATTTCTTAGTAAAATGCCTTATTTCCACGATTACGAATTCTTAGAAAATTTTAGTAATATGTTACTCTGGTACCTGTAAAAGTATATATAGGTAAAGGTGATCAGAATCTCATGGCACTTAGACAAATTTTAATTTGTAGTGGGCAACATCAATATATGTAGTAGGAAAAAGTGTAGTAGATACTTCATTTTAAGATCTGTACGAATTTGTATCAGAAAATGTTAAGTAATATCTGACACATTTTAAAATTAAACAAAAATATATCAATTACATTGTGGGTGATAGATTTATTTACATTTGCAGTTTGAAGTAACTCGCATTTACACTATTTATCTATTTTTTTACTAATAATTTTCTACACACTGTAGTCTTGCCGACCAGCACCAGTGCCAATAAAAATTACATACCACATACATTGCATTGGCTTCATTAAAATTTCAAAGACCAAGTTTCTTTACTCCTACTAACCGGCAAGAATTAAGACCCGCTTCCAAATCGTGAATTGTGAGTTAGATGCACTTAATTCGTCGCTAATTTTGCGATAAACGTTATTACAATGTGTTTTGCTTGAGTTAGAAGCGGATTCGCAGTCATAATTGCTGCAAAACCGTTATTTTCAACTGCAAATAGTTTAGTGTCAAATGGCTGCCTGCCAAGTTAACATTGCCAGGTGAAAGTTGTTCGATTTTTCTAATATTTAATGCCATGACATTCTGGTACACCTATACATTACCTAGTTATACATGAATTATTATGTTTGTCGCGTAAGCGTTCCATTAATATTAATCCAATATACGTTAAAACTTTAGAGAGTTGGTTGTGCTCATTCCCGGAAACGTTTCTGAAATTTTAGAACTATTTTAATATATCAGGTGGCCTTCAACAGACAGTAGTTTTAATAGCAGGAGAGCTCCTTGTGAAAGAGTTCGTCCAGGGAAGTACTGCCACCTTATCTATTTCAAGCGGTAATGTGACTATAACTGGTTTTATAGGGTGCTAGTGAAATTACAGGCACATGGTACTTAATAATTTATGTCACAAGATGACCCTCAAATCTTTGCGACTTAAAGTTCTAAGTGCTCGCTTACCACCAGGCGCAGGACTTGCCACGACACTTGGCGTCATAAAAAAAGCAAACGTGTTTTCAGCCGGAAGGGCAATTCTTTTGCACATGCACTTCTCCACTTCGTGACTTGCTTTTGTTTCACAAATATGTCGCCAAAACGCGGCTTTTTTGTAAATGATCGTGGCTTCGCAACGCCAGTACAGCTAATATTTTACAAATACACTTACGCAAGAATAATGTATGTATGGGACATTCAATCTACTTACATATTTAAAACTGAAAGTTCATTCATTCATCAGTTCCTAAAGGTGCGTACAGATTTGGCGAATGCACTGTGCGTATCTGTGTAATCACGTCACACGCAAGGCTTGCATCATAGCATAGCGTGCGAGGGGCATGCGAACAGATCGCACTACGCTGCCGTCCACTAACTAAAACGTGACTAAGCGAGAAATGTTCAAATATCCTATATATATAATATATATATAAATATAATGTATATATAAATATAATGTATATATAATATATAATATAATATATTCAAATGACAAAAGATACAGCACAAAATTCTCTTTTAAAAACAGTTAAAATTAGTTAACGTGTTTGACTCACCGGAACTTACCCTAACGATACATAGCTAAAATACCATTAAACAATTTCAATATTCTACAACTTGGTTATGGTTTTTTATGACATCTCTAAAAAATATTTTGACACTTAGCCACGTTTTAGTTAGTGGACGACAGTACGAAATATATGTGTGCAGCTTGCGAGCCATTCGCAAATAAGCGCATTCGCCATATTGGTACGCGCTCTTACATACGTATATCAGATGTTGCAAAATACTTACTTAAAAAAACGAATAAAAAACTTGTTTCTAGCTCTGGCTCAAATCACTAAGGTTTAGATTTTTAAAACGAACTTTAGCTTGGACTAAGACAAGTGGCGAACAAATCAAATTTTTCGTATAAAAACTAACTTTGCCTAAGTAAGAATTTCTCTAAAATAAGGCAAAATTACTATTAATTAATTTCTTTCTTAACTCGCTATTTGCTTAATAGAAGTCAAAGTTCGTTTTATAAACTTACATTAACATTTTTATGATAGCACCAGGCAATGAGTTTCGTCGCTAGATGGCGCTACAAGTACTCTAAAACGTTATAATAAAAGTATGGCCTGCGATACTTGACAAATTTTTGGACGTTTTTCGCTAATTCTAGCATTATAATAAACAAATAATAACAAAAGTTGTGCAAGTCAAAGCTCATAAACTAAATTGTTATCAAGAAAAATATTCTCATCTCAAATATTTTGTCTTGAGGTCAAGTTAGCCATTGATTAGAAAGTTCAGGTTTGATGTCTATTTTTTTATTATTTTTTTTCGTGTCGTCCTTTTCTGATCACAAATAAAATTCGTTACTAATAAATATAACACAGAACGTTATGATTTACATGCTTAGTTTTTGTTTTTCATTTGTACGAAAACTATTGTAATAAATGTTGAAAAACTATAACCGAGAGTTTCGTCGCTCTATAATTGATTGAAGAAGTTGAGAGCTCCAATTATGGCAAAGCTTAGGTTTTTTATTTGTTGTTGCGTCAGAAAACGTACTGGTGATGTTTACAAATAGAAACCGACCGAAGAACAACGCTAAATTTGTTTCTGCCATTATCAACTTGTTGATTATATTTTATTACCTATTGCTTCCCATATGCCGCAAGTGTCAATATTTCTATTTCTATTAATATTCTATTCTGTATTTGCGTGAAAAAAAAAACGTAAATATAAGAAGTTTGTAACTTTGTACTCCTACAAAATCACTAAATGTAAATACATACAAGACTGTAATACTAATATCATAAACAACAACTTTTGTTTTATGGTTTTTAATAATTCATATTCATCATTTTATAATTCATCAATAAATTAAAAAAAGTTTTACTTTCGTATAAAAACAAAAAATATTTTAATACATCGCTCTAAACGGCGATAACTTTGTGCAAAAAGCTGGACGGGTGTGGGAGTCGTACTTTACTACCAAATATGGATCTAAAAATACTTAAAGATTTATTTTTGGTAAATTGATTATGTTTTGTTAAAAGTCATGGAATAAAATTTGTTGTTTATGTTGTTAGTGATCTAGTCCTGCAGGGTATTTAATATTTTAAAAGTAATCCTGTATATAAACTAGGATCCAGAGCTGTAATACATAAGAAATATGTTTGAAATAATTAAAACGTGAATTTAATTTAACTTCGAGTCCACTTTAAGTACAGATCAATATGTAACGGCAGTAATGAAATGATGAAAATTTTAATTTTCTTATTATGTACGGGCAATAGCTCGCCTCCCTATATGCACAGAATTGAAAGATGGTCTGTGGTACAAAACGTCAAAGCGTGCTGTTCTACGTACGTACGTACGTGTACACACTGCTTAATAAATAAGTACGCCCTTAACATCGCAAAAATGCGCGTATGAAACCAAATATTGTCGTAACTCTAAAAAAAAATTGAAGAAACGTGATGTGAAAATTTGAAAAAAATACTGAATTACTCTTATTGCGAATAATGGGGTAATTTTTATTTATACATAACAATTAGTTACCCACTTGTAAACGGGAATATAAATGTATTGGTTCCATTCAATAATTGTTGAACTTTCAATTCGTAATTATTAATACAAAGATTGACCACTTAGAAAAAAATTCCTTCGATCCGGCCGGATTCGAACCGACGTCTTCTGGCAAACCGTGCCAGACGCTATGCCAACTAAGCCACGGAACGAACCAGCGGAGCTCACGAATTTTTCTATGTGCTTGTTTGTCGGATCTTTGAATCTGGTTTTTAACGACTTTTCAGCCTTAGCGCCATCTATAAGCAATCTATGAAAGTATTTCATCACCCAGTTAGGCACCTTTATAGCTACCAGCCCTGGCTAGAGATGTTGCTATTTACTGTAAAAATAAACTTTCACCACAATGATATTCAATAATTTTTTTGTGAAATTACTCCACTACTTTCTTGTAATTAATTATTAGTACAAAGATCGAATACTTAGAAAAAAACCCTTCGATTTTCAATTCATATTTTCTCAATTCCGTTATTTTTGAGGTACGACAGTAGTTGGTTTCATGAGCGACATGTCCTTTACAAAATGGAGACGGTGGGAAAAATAAGAACAGTGAGTGCTAGTGCTGGTGAAATTACAAGCACATGGGACTTGTCAACTTATGTCTCCGGGTTACAGTCGCAGTGGTAGTCCCCTCAAATCTTTGCGATTTAAAGCTCTGAATGGCACTACAACTGTTAGGCTCAACTCACACTGTCGCAGAGTTGAAGCGTCGCGACGCGTCATGTTTTTCGCCTATAACATGTTCGTCTCTATTTTCCCATTATTAAGGTACAAATTTGAGTTATCCAAATATGGAATCGCGCGTCGATGCGCAACGACGCGCGCTGCCATGCGTTGTAGTTGAAAAACAGGACGCGACGCGACGCTTCGACTCTGCGCCAGTGTGAGTTGAGCCTTATGGGCAGGCGTGTCTTTTTCACCAAGCGCACGACTTGTTCGTCCTCTCACTTGATATCATAAAAAAAACCCACTAGAGCGCCGAAATAAGAACAATACTCCCTTAATTTTCAAAATAGATGAAGAAGTGTTAAATAAAATCAATCCAACAAAAAGTAAAAGACACCTCAAAATAAAGTCCCTGAAATTGCTACAGATGTTTAGTAAACAGACCATTATATATTTACAAAGTGCTTGTGTATGGTAAGTAATGTTTTTCAAACATTATATTTTTCTGGCACGACCTTCGATGAGAAGCACCCGATCCTACTATTCTGCCAATTTATTATTATGTACAAATACAAAAATATACTCATGTTCACTTGAACTTAAGTGTATGAGTTCTGAAATTCTTTTTATAAAATCATATAGTTCTTCAAAGCAATTCCGAATAGTATACTAAACTTGATTATTTTGAACCGCGCTGGAATTTAAAGGTTCTCGGCTATCTTCGTCCTCGGCTAATTCAGCCTCTTCGATTTCATCCACGTTGTCAAGATTGACTTTGTTATTTATCAAAGCATCGGGCACCGTGTATACTACACTGCCGTAGTGGTTACCTGGAACATAAATACAGTATTTATCAGTTACTATAAAAGGGACAATGGTTACGGTCACCCAGAAAGCGTATGTTAAATGTCTCTCTTTAAAATTGGATCAGGGACACATAGATCCGAAGAAGAAAGAATCTGTATCGAGTTCTTAGGTTTTCGCGATTGTTACACATAGGAAATGAAACTATTTTTCCGGATTTAAATCGCGTATATTTGTTTTTTCAAACAAACCGACGTTTCGGGCCCTTTACAGGTCCCACGGTTGAC